GGGGGGGGGGGGGGGGGGTTTTACATGCCTCGGCCCCTTTTCTGCCAGGAGGAGAGAAAAAATGAGACCGAGAAAAAGAGGAATGTTCCAAAAGATGACCCACCAGTTCGTGTTCCATTATGATAAAAGGCTTGGGGGGGGGGGGAGCACTCAAAGCTAATTACTCCTTGTCTGTGTTTCTTCAGGGCAGGCGGCGGCGCACGCAGCCACATCAGCCCTTCTTCGTCCTTCAGGATGGACATCTCCATTCCACGGGGACGGAGAGTCCAGGACGCTGGGTCCTGCTCCCAGGCTTGAGCTCAACGCGGCTTTGAGACTAGGACCAGGATCTTACCTCCCTCCAAGGCCAAGGGGCTTGACCAGGACGTGTTGAATCATGGCAGTTGGTTGGGGACCCACCCCCCAAACATCAACCCTAGCTGGCAAGTACGTGGTAGAGTTTGGGTTCCTGCAGCTGGATGTCTTCAACCCTAAGGGACTGGTCCTAAGGGTGTGGGGAATGGCACCCAACAAAAAAAACACCTCGTTTGGGTTCAGGTAACATTGTAAACCCTGGTTGGTTGGTCCACCCCAAGGTCTTGGGTTCCTACCACAGCACGCATCTTGGTTGACAAGCCGAAGTGGTTAGGGTTTCCATCCTACCGTAGAGCCTGCCTGGCCAGCCACATTGCTCGGGCTCCCCCAAGGCCATCAACCTCGGTGGACCAGCCCCAACGGCCGGCATTCCCACGACTCACAACCGCTCAGGCCTGCCCCGCTGCCCAGGAACAGCTGGATCCTCTGCTCCGGCTCAGACAAATCACCCCAGGGCTTAGCCGGTCGTGCGAACCCAGCCTACTGCAGGTGCCAAGCAGGGCGGGCCGTGCCCGGAAAGGGCGCCCGTCTTGCAAGGCAAGCCCCCTTCCCTTTCCCCGGCCTCTGCTCTCCCCCAGCCTTCCTCCCCCCGCCCCACTCACCACTCGGGGTTCTCCGCCGCCTTGGGGTTAAATCGGATGTCGCTGTTGACGTTGAACAAGAGGTCGG